TCTCATGTGCTCTTCTTTTAAAGCCCTCAGAACCATGCCCACAACCACCATTATTAATCCATTCACTACGGCATGGTCCTACTATCTGATCACCTCTTCAAGGCCCCACCTTTCAATCATCACAGTAGGATTTCTCACCCTCAACAGTTACACTGGAAATTAAGCTTCTAATATACAAACTTTGGGGGACACTATTCAATCAACCCACAGCACAAACATTTACTCTTTTAGGGCAAGAAGGTGTAAAGTGAGAATAATTGTGTGTAAAATGGGAACAGTTAAATACCTCACAGAATTGTTCTGAGGATAAAGTGAGCTACTATGTGTAAAAGGCTAACCAGTGCCTGGTACATAGAAAGAGAGCCTAAGTGAGGACACTAGCAAAAATGGTTGTTTGCTATTGTGTTTTTATCTTGCCTCCTCTTTTTCTTCTCATCCCATAAACAGAGCTACACCCTAAGGTTCATTCTCAGCCTTCTGCTCTTCTCTCTTTATACTAGTTATCTTGCAAATCTAATTTGCTCTGAAATCATATGCTCCATTTAGAACCTTTCCTCTGAACTTCTCTAATGTATCTTCATTTGTAGCCTACATGTCCTGTAGCACCTTAAATTCAACGTGTATAACCACAAACTCATGACCCACTTTGTTGCTTTGCCTCCCACGGATTTGTCACCTGTTTTCCCCTGGGTAACAGAGCCACCAAAGATTACTCAAAGCCCCTCTCTTCTGAGCAGTGAGAAGTTTCAAAAGGGGTTAATCTCCCCAAACCCTCAAGAGCAAGGTGTTCCTTCCATTTGGGAAATTAACCACGAATTGGGGTTCTCTTCCTGCATTTATTCTCCAGACCAAGAAGTTACAGGAAGAGAACAGAGGTGGGGTTTTTGCTAAGTACAGTTTAACAAGTTTAACAATAGAAGCTGGTAACATGCAAGTAAGTCAATCCACTAACAAAAGCTTGATTTTAGCAAACATTCTCTTCTTACAGCAATTTCCCAGTATCTTTACATATCAATCAGTAACCTATCTGTCTCTGAGCCAGCAGCCTTGCTGTGTTACAACTCTTTATCTTACAACAGAGACTCAATAGCCTGGGGAAAGTTTCCTGTTTTTTGTAAGGTCAATATTTGAAACTGCAAGGCTTTGGAAAACCAGGCCCTGTGAAGTACATTTGCTTTATGCATACTATACACCACTTGAAATCAATTTCCCTTAACACTTCCCTGTTTTTGAGAGAGGAACTATCCTTCTTTCAGTAACTATGGTGCAAAGTTGTAGATTCCCTGTTGACTTCTCTCTTTCCATAATTTTATCACCTTATCACTGTACCAACCAGGAATCTTTTAGTTGCAAGAAAACTCAACTCAAAACTGGCTCAAGCACCATATAATTCCCTGCCCTCACCCCCTATATAACTGGGAATTCCAAAGGTATCCTGATTTCAGGCACAGAGAAGTCCAGGAGTTAAAATCTCATGACACAGGGACACTTGCTTTTTCTACTCAGCTCTACTTTCCTTTACATGTGCTCTGCTCTCAGGTAAGTTTGCTAGTGAAGTGAGGTGGCTGTCATCAAGTCCAGGTCAACATCATATCCTCTTAGCAATACTAGGGGAAAGAGAGTACCTTGCTCTTGGGTAATACAGAACCCCCGGGATTAGCTTTTATTCTAACTGGACCATGTATCAATTCTTTAACCAGAAACTGGAGGAAGTGATGCTCTGAGTACCTAGGTCTAAGCCTAGGGGTGGGGTCAGCCCACCCAAATCACACGGACTGAGAATGGGGATGGAATGGTTCTCTAAGAAACATATGGGTTCAGCTACCAGAAGGAAAAAAGGGTTTATGTGCGGCAGGCTACCAGCCAAGAAGACACCTGCCATGGTCTGTGAGATGGTACATAAGAATCTGAACAAGGAAGTGGTGTCGGCACTGAAAAGGAAGAGGGAAAGGATTTTAGAGATGTACAGGAGTTAGAATTGACAAGACCTGGAGGAGGGTAGGGGAAAGGCAGGAATCAAAGATGACACTAATTTCTGTCTTATGTCATTAGTGGATGGTACTGCCTTCCCTGAGACTGCAACAGACTTTTTTTTATTTTTCCTTTTTGTCTTTTTTCGTGACCGGTAACGGGATCGCAACCCTCAGTGTCGCACCCACACCACGCTCAACCAGTGAGCGGACCGGTCTCTATATGGGATCCGAACCCTCCACAGGAGCGCCGCTGCACTCCCAAGCGCCGCACTCTACCGAGTGTGCCACCGGGCTGGCCCTGCAACAGACTTTGAAGGAGGAAAGTGTTAAGTTTACATGTCGATTTTGAGATGTCTATGGGCTCTTTAGGTGGGGATGTACAGCAGATGTGGGATGGATAGATGGATGTGGAGTCATCAGCCATGGGTGATGGTTGAAGTCATGGGAGCAGGTCAAAATGAGACTTGAGGAATGTGCATAATAAGCGGGCTAGTACGTAGCCTAGTGAACAGGTTTTAATGGAGGGTTCCATGAGAACAATTAATAGTATCAAATATTGCAGAGACAAATAAAAACTAAAATTGGCCCATCAAATCAGCAAGCTGTCTGGACTTTGGTGTAGTTTCATTGCAGTGGTAAGGGCACAAGCCAGGATTAGGGAGAACCTAGGATTAGGGTGGAATGTGGCTGAGGAAGCAGAGACTCTGAGTGAGGACATTCCTCTGGAGCAGCTTGGCTGTGTACAGAAGATGGGCCATAATTCAGTCTTTTCCCTGTAGAACTTATTCCTGTGTCAATCAACATTTCAATTGCTTTGAATTGCTTTTTGTTATAAAAGTATGCACATCCATTCCACATTCCCAACTAGACTGTTACATTCTTGAAGGTGAACCTCATAAGGACCTAGCACAGTGCTCCACCCACAGTAAGAATAAAATATTTGTCTTAAACCCTGATTTGGAATCTGAAGCAAAGGGGTCTCCTTTCTTCAGTGACTTGGGCAAGTGTCTTGGTGCCTGACTACACAGTTTTTCTCCCACTTCGGTAAAGAAACTTGTAGCAACTGAGGTGCTGCAAACTCCAGGAAGATCTTCTCATGTTAACACTAAAAATTGGGCAAATGGGTGTAGGGTGCTGGAGTCTCTGTATTGTTTCGAGGGTTACCTGGAATTTATTGATTTGCGGGCTATAAAACAAGGCAAAAGAGAGGCCTGTTTTACACACATTCATTGAATAGAATTCAGTCTTTACCGTTCAGCACAGAATCCTTGATAGTGGTCAGGATCTCTGATTGTCCTCAACAAAGCCAAGCAAGAGGACTAATCCCACTTAGAAATTTTTATGAGGACTCTGCATTAGTTAAAAGATAGTTTCAGACTGAAACTGGCTGGTTCTTGTATTGAATAAGAAAAGCAGCATGAAATGGTTAAAGGAGGCAGTGTGACATCAGGAAAACAGCATTAAACTTGCAAGTCAAAAGAACTGGCTCTCTATGCCTGTCTTTGTCATTAGTTAGCTGCCCTTGGGCAAGTTGCTGGATTTTTTTGAGGCCATGTTCTAATCTGTAATGAGGGGATAATACTTACCTCCCCAACCTCACTACATTCCACTGAATGGCTCACATAATCCTCCCTCTGTAATTCATTAAGAACCAAAATCATACGTAAAAATGTTAAAACGCAAAGCACAAATGTTTTTTCTTTAACATGTTGAGCATTACAATACGCTTGGCACTTTATTTCATTTACTACATATCTGCAAGGTACAACTTAAATCACTACTCACTTCTCTGTAACAATCCCAGTTACAACATTACCTTCTCATTGGATCACTGGCTATCCGTTTCAGAGCAAGAACTTTTAAAGATCAGAATTTATCAAAAAGACTTGGCATACTCCAACGTGCCTGATTGCTTGATAATGAACAGCATCTCCATATTTAAACAATCCAGATGGACACAATCTTTCATACTCCCTGCCTACATGAAAATCCCATATAGTAAAGGCCTGGAGTAGATGCAAAAGACTAAGACATAACTAAGAAATAAAGACAGAATGAACTGTGTAAGTTGTGCACTGGCATATCAGAGTGTAAATGTTTCAGCAATGTAAGTGACACTTTGCAAGGAATTCTCAGAAATAGAAGAAAAACCTTATAATAAACATTAGGAAAAAATGCAGTCTTAAGCAGAAAAAAAAAAAAATAGAAGCTAAAAAAAATGTTTAGTTATCTTGTGCCTAAGTTTTCAAAGATTACATTATGTATAATTTTAAGATTAAAATGGGATAATCTTAAGATCTGCAAGATTTTATTCAACATTTACATCATTTCCTTGCTGATCCAAGAAATATTAATAAAATTAGAAAATTAATGTGTCAATATTTTGTTCATACTACATGAATTGATTTTCCTAACCATATACTAATAACAGGAATGATACAGCCCATCATCAATGTGTGAATGTCAATACTTTTGGGAATATTAGTTACAAATTGACTTTGACTTTGGAGCTCTTAAAAATGGGAAAAAATGGGCCGGCCCGTGGCTCACTCGGGAGAGTGCGGTGCTGATAACACCAAGGCCCCAGGTTCGGATCCCATATAGGGATGGCCGGTTCGCTCACTGGCTGAGCGTGGTGCTGACAACACCAAGTCAAGGGTTAAGATCCCCTTGCCGGTCATCTTTTTAAAAAAAAAAAAAAAAGAGGAAAAAATGTGCACAGTGATTGACTCATCCTTCACAACAGAAAGAACCAGACAGTGCTGCCCCAGGTTCGGATCCCATATAGGGATGGCCGGTTCGCTCACTGGCTGAGCGTGGTGCTGACAACACCAAGTCAAGGGTTAAGATCCCCTTGCCGGTCATCTTTTTAAAAAAAAAAAAAAAATAGGAAAAAATGTGCACAGTGATTGACTCATCCTTCACAACAGAAAGAACCAGACAGTGCTCCCTCAAAGGGCATTCCTAGCTGTATGCACATGCACAAGTATTTTTTTTTTTTTACTCAGGAAAATAAAAACAGTTACCCCAGCTTCATATGAAGGTTTATTTTTAAGTGGCTTTTCCCTTAAATGGGGAAATAACATCTTTAGAATAAGAAAAACAACATATCTTCCTTTTTGAACTCAAAATATTAACCATTACTTTTTGTGGTCATGAACAGAGGCCAAGTTTGCTGAGAATGCAACATCCGGGAAAAGTTTATTAAAGAAAACTCCATTGTGTAAACCATTCTTCCCTTCATTTCCTCTCCTCACCTCACCAAAGAGTAATTTTCAAAGCATCTAATAAAACTCAACTTACGTATTTAAGATGACCTATAGCATTTCCTGCACTGACATCAGCTGGTTTTGGGAGGAGACCTTGCTTTCAATTAGTTTCAAATGACATCATCAAATGACATAGGGCAAGCCCAGTTACAGTGCAACTAGGCTACACAGACACTGTAATGTTGCCTCACCTCTGCAGAATCAAGCACCTTGCCAGAAGCCAGTTTCTCATCTTTAAGTGCCCTCTGGTGTTCACTGGTAGATTTGCATCCTTAAGTCATCTGTGCACAACAGTGGCCCGTCCAGTCTGAAGGCATGAATAATCCATAAGTATCACAGTAAGGTTTCTAACTTATTTATTGGTAATTTTAAACTTCACCATCAAAAAAATTAAGTTACTGAGTGCTCAGAGTAAAGAAATGTTATTGCTATTGCATATGTCATTTTTCAGAGGAAGTCTACTTTTCTCCTGCCTTTCAAACAGCAGGATATAGAAGACACTCCAAAGGAGGTTTTTATTATAAGCCGAAAGATGTTTTAAAAAAGAATATTTTTAGGATTAGTCTCTAAATGCAACCTGGGAGAAAATCAGAGAAGAGCAACCCTCTCCAAAGTTAATCAAATAACAAATTCTTCAAAGCTTTAAAACATTAAGCACAAAATTTAAACAACATACTGTAACTTTATTAGATTTTTCTGTCTTACTGGCTGTTTGGACTCAACCAAGGCTTAGTAACCTATAACTACAGGGCCTTTAACATCTTTGAGGTGTCACCATACTTAATATGAAATTCGATTAGGTGGCACAAAACTAGTCAACCTGTCAACACAGAGCAACTGTTAATGTCACAGCTTTGGCCATTTACTGCTTTTTAAATAATTCAATCACAAAATATAAAGATATTTAGTCTATTTGAATGTTCTCTGTTACTGCTGTACAAGGTATTACTCAAAAAAAAAAAAAGCTTGCCAGGCCACGCCTACTTAATAACAGATACTAGCAGATGTCATGATGCAGGTAAGTCAAAATTCTGCTTTGTATTTAGAATGAGAAGGGTAGCAAGCCTATAAAAAATCATTTTCTCTTTTGGCCCCTATTCCTATACCTCCACACACACTCCATCCTAAACGTGTCCCACTGTCCATTCATCTAATATCCTGATTATGACCCCGAGTGCTCTCCAAGTAAGAGGGATATTTAGTGTTTTGTTCAGTGCAGAGGTGGTGTGCAAATGGGTGCATGATGGACAAAGTGACAAAGCGAGGGAAGAAAGGAAACATTCCACAACCTTATTTAATAGAATGTTCTTCATGACACCTCTTGGGATGTAAACACAGCTTGGTGTATAGAAGTTCATTCTGATGATTAGAGACCTGTATGACTGAGTAAGGCAGTTTCTAGACCCCTCCCTCTAACCCTAACAGATTTTTGTAAAAGTCTGTGGGACAAGTGAAGAGGAAGCATATTCATCCCTTTCCAAATGGGGACAATGGGACTCCTCTCGGAAGGTTATTTTACAACACAGCCTCCTGAAAGTGGCAGCCTCCCCGTCAGCCATTTCAGCATGGCAGTTACAGTTGCACACTTTGGAAGCGGTCAGGTCTCGAGTCTGATGTCTGAAAAGCATTTCAGTCCACTTCCACTTCAGCAAGGGTGAGTGGTGTCTGGCAGCCCCACTGGTCAAGGTTCTAGCCTTTGATGACAGCAATTGGTCTCAGTTTAATGGCCTTCTTGCTGATTCCAGCATCATGGCAGGTATTTACCACATCTGTCACGTTCTTATAGGACTCAGGAGCCTGCAGGGAGGAATCACACGTTGTAAACGTCTACCGAAAACAGACTCTTTCAAAGCACTAAACTTCACCTGTAATTAAAGATATGTCCGTTAAAATAATGCTGAGGTGGTTTTTTTTTTTGCTATCAAATTAGCAAAGATTAGAAAAAAGAGAAAGCTCAATGTTGGTAAGTGGTCCTGAGATAAAAGTGTCATCTTGTTTTACATTTTTTCTGTATCTCACAGAATTTCTCTAAAGAACATGTCTTACTTGTATAATTTGAAAAATCAGTAAATGTGATTAAATAAAACATACACACCAATACCTGACTGGAAGGAAATGCACCAGACCACCATGTTAGTGGTAATTATCTTTTGGTGGTGAAATTATTGGCAGTTTTAATTTTCTTTCTTTATATATTTCTGCATTTTCCAAAATTTTTGGAATGAACATGTATTACCTCCACAATAAGGGAAAGTTATTAAATTCACATACAGTTGGCTCTCCTTAATTGTGGGTTCCACATCCATGGATTCAACCATGTATCCAAAGTAATTGGGGAAAAAAGAACCATGTTCAGTCTGTACTGAACATGTACCAACTTTTCCGTCATTATTCCGTAAACAATACAGTATAACAACTATTTACATAACATTTACATTGTATTAGGTATTATAAGAAACTTAGAGATGATGTGAAATATACAGGAGGTTATATGCAAACACTATGCCATTTTATATAAGGAACATCTTGTGGATTTTGGTATATGCAGGAGGTCCTGGCACCAATCTCCCACAGATACTGAGGAACATCTGTATCTATGTCTGTATATACATGTGTGTATATACACTCACGCACAATTTGTTTCTAGCAAGACTCCTGCCCTTCCTTCCCACATACACTCACTGTCTTGCCACCATGAGAACTAATCTCATCACATACCCCCCCTTTATCTCTATTCACATCAACACAAGCAGCTTAGGCTGCTCAGATCTAAGCATGTATTATTATTATTTTATTTTATTTTTTTTTCTGACCGGTAAGGGGATCGCAACCTTTGGCATGGTGTCGTCCGCACCATGTTCAGCCAGTGAGCGCACCCGCGGCCTCGGTGCTACCAGCGCCGCACTCTCCCAAGTGAGCCATGGGGCCGGCCCAAAGCATGTATTATTCTTAAGATGAGTGGAGAAATGAAGTTGTAAATTCCCATGGGGTTCTGTACATACCCTTTCTATCCCATTCCCATTCTCTTCCAGTTTCTAAAACAGCATGTATTATTCTTAAGATGAGTGGAGAAATGAAGTTGTAAATTCCCATGGGGTTCTGTACATACCCTTTCTATCCCATTCCCATTCTCTTCCAGTTTCTAAAACTGTAGCCTCTGGAACTCCCTCCAGAGAGTCAAGTACAAAATCCCCTCCTTCTTCCTTTCTTCTTCTTACTAAAACATGGATCTCCACTGAGGATACCATTTTCACTGCCATCTTTCTTTTTTTTTTTTTTTTTTGTCGTGTCCGGCAACGGATCGCAATCCTAAGTGTCGCGCCTGTACCGGACCGGGACCGGCAACGGGATCGCAACCCTCGGTGTTGCTCCCGCACCTCACTCAACCAGTGAGCGGGAACCGGTTTGTATGTGGGATCCGAACCCTCGGCGGGAGCGCCACCATGCTCCCAAGCAGCGCACTGTAGCAGTACGCCACCGGGCTGGCCCTTCACTGCCATCTTTCTGAAGTGGTAGCTGTTTTCTCTCCCAAACTGGGTCATGCCATTGGGCCCACAGGGGGACAGGTGTCCTCGCTCTTCATGGTTGTTTTCATTCTCCTTCCTTCCACCCAAAGCACTCCCAGTTTGAAACTTGCAGTTGTCATATTATACCACCCATACCTCCAGTTGTAGGTCTGAATCACTCCCTAACATTAGCTGAAGAACTCTAGCTCCTGGGTCACTGTCACTCTCTCCTGCTGTAATTCTGAATGATTTTATTATCCAGGGAGAGGGCCCTTTCGGTAACCTGTTGTCTTAGTTTCTTGATTTCTGCTCCTCCAGTGATTGCAGCTCTGCTTACCTCCACATTCACTTCCAGGACCATAGCCCAGAGCTTGTCGCTACCAAAGGTTAACACTCCTTCAAAATCTCACTTTTAAGCATCCCAGTCTGGTGATCATGGCCTAGGTTTCCTGCTCACTGTCCTTTGGCAGCCCCCTTCCAACAATCCTTTAACTCCATTGGGACCTATAATCCCTTTGCAACACCCTCAACAACCTTGCTTCTCTTTCATGTGCTGTACTTGTGAACCTGGTGAAAGGTAACTCAACACCTATTTCAGGCCTGTACCTATACAGCTGAACGTACTTGGAAAAACACCCAATCACTAAATTTAGCTCAAGTGGGCCCTTGGTGCTGCCTGCCTGGCAACCACCCAAAATTTCACTGGGCCAATCACTCTCTCTCTCCTAGATGATTATTTCATACCATCTCCTGTACGCTCACTCTCAGTTGCTACCCTACTTTCTATTACACTGAAAAAAACAGAAGCAACCAGAAGAGAATTCTCACAGACCCTCTCATTGTATCTTCCTCACCTATCTGCACCTGTATCTTCTCCCCTTTTTTTAAGGATGAATTATCTGTGCTCCGAGCAGACCAACCCTGTCCACATATACACCAGATCCCACCTTCTCTCATCAACAAGTACAGTACTTCAGTAATTTCCCCTCCTCTTTTCTGCACCATCAACTTCTCTTCTAGATTCTTCTCACCAGCATGCAAACACACTAGTCAGATCATATCATTCTTGTGCTCAAAATCCTCCAATGTCTCTCCATTTTGCTCAGATAAAAACAAAAGTCCTTTTGCAAAGGAAAAAGAAAAAAAAGAACCCACGTGACCGGACACCTCCTACCTCTCTGACCTCACCTCCCTCTTTTTCACTCTTGTCACACCTGGCCTCCTTGCTGTTTCTCGAACATTTCATGTATAACCTTGGCTCAGGGTTTTTGCACTTGCTGTCTTTTCTGACTGGAAAACTTACCTCCAGATTACCATGTAGCCAGTTCCCTCACTCCCTTCATGTCTTTACTCAAATATCACCTCAATAAAGTCTTTCCTGACCAATTAATTTAAAACTGCACCCCTCCCTACCTTTCCTTATCCCTTTTCTCTGCTTTGCTTTTACTTCAAAGCACTCACCTGGTTGTTAACGCTATACATTCTACTATTTGGTAAGTTCCACAAGAAAGGGATTTATGTTAGTTTTGTTCATTGCGGTATCCCTAGCACATAGAACAGTACCTAATTATAGCAGATGTTTAATAATTATTAGCTAAATGAGTCAATGAAAAAACCATTTGTTACAAGTGAACCCCCCCCCCAAACAAAAAATCCAAATGTTAACAGTGGTTAAATCTGGCTGGTTGAATTCTAGATGTTTTCTGTTTTCTTTTTTGTATTTTCCAGACCTTTTAAATTAAGTGTGTATTATTCTTAAGATCAGGGGAAAATTAATAGTTATTAAAAATAAGAATTTGTCATACCTTGACTCAGTAGTTTTTCTTTAGAAACTTCACTCTAATTATTAAAACATCTGGGAAAAAACTTCATGCATGAAGATACTCATTACAATTTAATTTATGGCAGTAAAAATTTGGAAGCTACTTAAATGTCCACTGTGGGCACAAACAAAGGTACTGATGGAGTTTGGATGTGTTGTCCCCACCAAAACTCATGTGGAAACCTGATCCCCAATGTGGCAGTGTTGGAAACTGATTGAGTCATGGGACTGGATCCCTTGTGAATGCATTAGTGCTCTCCCTAGGCGGGGGAAGTAATGAGCGAGTTTTTGCTCTATTAGTTCTCACGAGAGCTGGTTGTTTACAGGACCCTGGAACCTCTTCTCTATTGCTTCCTCTTGCCATGTGATCTGCTTGTACCCACCGCTGGCTGCCATGAGTAGAAGCAGCCTGAGGCCCATGTCAGATGTAGCTGTCCCAGAATCATAAGCCGAATAAACTTCTTTTCCTTATAAATTACCCAGTCTCAGGTATTTCTGTTATAGCAACAAAAAACGGACTAATACAGGTACTCAGTTGTTAGAATATTCACCAATGATTATAAAGTGACACGAACAATTTTATATTAATGTGCTAAATTTAAAAAATGACTATAAAATGTTTGTAAGCTATAATTTTAAGTAGCTTTTTAAAAAGTATTTAGGGAAAAAATATGGCAGTAAGTATTCTAAAAAAGGAGGTAATAGTTGTGTTAGGACACTGAGCTTCTGGATGACTATTTTTCTAGCCTGTACAGGGATCTGAACCCTTGACCTTGGTGTTATAACACCATGCTCTAACCAACTGAGCTAACTGGCCACTCTCTCTTAAATTTTTAAGAAAGGAGTTATATTGTTTCTAATTTAAATATGCACCCATGTGTACACATACATACAGATAATCTCAACAAAATCTTAGCTCCCCTGTGAATCAAACGAAACTATGTTTTTCTAAACATGTCCTTCACCCTTTCTGAATTTGCTTTCAAAATGCAGTACCAGTACACAACTATGCAAAGGCAAGATTAAGTTGAGTCAGCTCAAACTATTTTTAAAGCTTACAGAGACTGTACTAATATGGTAAAAACCATTTTTATGGACTTGGCTTGTACCTAATCTCCAAACAAAAGAGAAGACAATATAAAACTGAAATAAGATAAAGCAAAGAAGATTAACTGAAATTGAGGTCATTAAAAACAAGCAAGCAAGGAATTTCTGTTAGCAATACCAAAAATTGCTGTCTCCGTGCACTGGCATAAATCATAAATGGTTTTATGTTGAATATTTATCAAAATTTCACTTACCTCTTCCATAACCAGTTTGGGTGAGGCAACACGGATTGCAATTCCCATATCTGCCAATTTGTCTAAGACATCCTGGAAATCTAAATTACGTCGAGATTTTGCACGAGACAATGCACGCCCCTAGAACAGGAAAGGAATAAATTTCTCTTTATAAATTCTGAGCTAAATTTTATGTTTGATCCCAGCAATTATTTAAAGCCTTAGGATTATAAGCATTTTCCTTGATTTTTTTTTCTTTTAACTAGAAGGGTTTAAAAAACAATCTTTTTCTACTTTATTAACCTTACTATGTGCCTTTTGTTATAAACCTCATCATATCCCTTGGGAAAATATATTTCTATCTACATAAAGATATGTGGATCAAAAGTCCACATATTTTCCAGTTGGTCCTAGGGTCTGTCATTCTGGTCATAATATGGAAGGCTGCATCCAAACCTTGAGGAGGTCATGAGGGCATCACATCTAACCTGCTGTGCACATGATCTACTTATGGTATCTGCTGTGAGTGTATGACTCCCTGACTAGAATTGAGTCCCAATGATTGTTGTCTGCTTTGGTCATCAAATCATGCCAAGTGTCTAGAAAAGTGACTGCACAAATTAAGTGTTTATTATACATGTGTTAAATAAACCCCAACCAGAACTTTTCTAGATATCTGAGTGGGCCTGGGGCCCCTCCTCTAGTACCCAGGGACCCCTGTTCTGTCTATATCAAGGGAAAAGACCAGATAGAAAAAAATCTCATATAAAAATGCAAAACAAAAAAGCATTTTGTATTTAAAGATTTAGTTTGTGTATTTCTATTTACTGTAAATCACTGATTCAATATAAATAAGTAAAACTTTAATTGTAAACAGTAGGTCTATCATCACAAAAACTTTGTGCTCTTTGTGATTTAAAATGGTTTCTCAACCTCAAAACTATTGACATTTTGGATCAGATAATTCTGTGTGGTGGGGCTGTCCTGTGCACTGTAGGATGTCTAGCAGCATCCCTGGCCTCTACCCACTAGATGCCAATAGCAACCCCCTCCTCTCCCCAACTGTGACAATCAAAAATGCCTCCAGACATTGCCAATGTCCCTGAGGAGCAGGAGGTTCACCCTGGTTGAGAATCACTGGGTTAAAATCAGGAGTTGGGAGGCAGCTAGCAATGAGAAACAATCAGAGTAGGGTTAAAATATATCCGTGAGGGTCTGTCCTATGAGAAGGTATTCTAGATAGTTTCTGTATTTCTCATTCCAACAGTGGCTAAGCACTCTGATAGCTTAGAATAGATTACAGTTTCTGGGCCAAATCTGGCCAACCACCTGTTTTTGTAAATAAAGTTTATTGGAACACAGCAATTCCTATTTACATATTACTTATGGCCGCTTTCACACTAAAAGAGCACAGATAAATAGCTGGTAGACCATATGGCCCTCAAAACCTAAAATATTTACTGTCTGGCCCTTTAAGGAAAACGTTTACTGACCTCTGGCTTAGAAGAGGCAATGTGCTGAAATGGGTTTGCAGATTACATATGGACTCTGACTTGCAAATAGGGCGTATCCCCTAAATCTTGAGTGGACACACCCAGTAGGAAGAAGCAAATTGAGCAAATAAAACCAGTCATCATTGAGATAAGCCGTGATGTAAATGTGCATCAGTTAAAGTTATATCACTTATACAGCTGGCCGGGTAGCTCATTTGGTTAGAGTGCAGCCTTGTAACACCAAGGTAGAAGGCTCGGATCCCCGTACCAGCCAGCCACCAAAAAAAAAAAGTTGTATCACTTATAAACTAGTTACAGTAAACTCAGCTAGTGTGACAGCTCCCTAGTCTGGATTATCTAGACTTGCAAAGATGAGTCCCTGCCCCTACCATGACCTCACTAAGGTAGAAATACTAGGTGATTTTGGTCAGTTCACAAAATAGTATACATGTGGGGAATAATTTAAAGCAGAAGATATGACAGACCCAAACTTCAACTTTGCTGATGCTTAATCAGGTACATTTACCTGTCAAAATACAAAACAATAAACTGAAGAGAGCACTTCTAAGGAAGTTTCTGTTTTCCTTACCGCTCCATGACAGGTTGTCCCAAAGGTCTCAGTCATGCCCTGTTCAGTGCCAGTAAGAACATAACTACAGGTTCCCATGGTGCCACCAATGAGTACTGGTTGTCCAGTGAGCTGAGGATGTACACAAATCAAACACGTTAAAATTTTAAAAAGCATTAGCATTTTATACTTGGAAATTCAAACTTCCTCTTGTACTGCATAATTGTGGGAGAAACCTGGGCCTCTAAACACAGTGCTCTTACAACTATATTTAGACATTATTTTGATTCTTTGATAATTGGGAGGGGAGGGAATGGAAAGGGCATGAAAATGTGAGGACCAGGAAAGACTGGATGTAAGAGCAAAGCAAAATCCAAAAGTGTAGGGAAGTGTTACTAGAACCACCATCCTGGACGAGGTACCTGCCCTTTCTTGGCATCAGTTTCCTCATCTGTAAAATGAGAGGGCAGGCTAAGGGTCTTTCTAACTCTACCACAGACAGGCACCAAAAGGATAAGAGGGATGAAACAAACTGGGTTTAATCTTTATCCTGTCTTCCAATAATTCAAAGGCCTTAATTCATCTTAATGAAGTAAAATATACTTAATGCAGCACTTTTTAGACAGCATACTGCACACTGCAAGCACAAATGATTGGGGGGAGAAGTCACTGTGTCTAGAGAATATTGGGAATCACTGTTCTCACCTGTGACACTACTTTCTTTTCACAATTGCTACTTTCCTATTTAAATGCAATCCCTATTTGGAACTATGTAAATCAGCCCCCACTGCTTAAAACCACAAATGCAGGGCTACGTACTTGGTAATCAACAGCAATGAGGGGATGGTGAGGAGGGAAAGCACGGGTGGATCCCTTCCTGTGAACTAACAGTGTCCGTTCTTTTCCATCCACTACATGCTGTTCTACTTTGGCAATATTGTGAGAAACATCATAGATCACATGCAGGTCCAAGTCATCAGGGGTTGTGTTGAAGACCTTCGCAAAAGCCTAAGAGAAAAAGCTTAAGTTAAAAGCAGCCAGAATCAGATCTTCAGAACTTATTTTACTGATTCAGCTAGTCTGTTCCTGAAGGGAGTGAAGGATTTAAAAGAAGAACAGTATTATTAAAGGACAAAAACTGCCTTTTAGACGACATAGCAATTCAACTTCAATTCCAACTTTGATTGAAAAGCTGCCTGACTCCTCCTGATCCCACCCATCAGTACTGCTTCTTCCCCAGCCTTCTGACTCTTCGTGAATGGCACTTCTATTCTCTCTGCTGCTCAAGGCAAATTCTAGGAATAATTTTGGCTTCTCTTCTCTCATTCCTCATGTCTGACATTCTGCTGATTTATATAAATTTCCAAATCAAAACCCACAGGCTTTGATTTGACTGCATCAAGTTTCAAAGCACTTAACTTCATCACAAATAACTTGGAACAGAAGAGCAACTTCAACTGTACCTGACGGGTTAAGAAGGTCATGGAAGAGCGGTTGACCCAGGCATAGTTCCCAGCCGCTGCCATTCCCTTCAGGTAGTCCTGACCCTCTGGGGAAGCGATTCGAGCACAGGCCAACTGACGGTCATTGACTATAATCTTGTCCCTCTTCATAGCCTTTTCCATAGCTACTAGTGCATCTGGAACAAGAGAGCAACAAGACCAAACCAGTTAGGTTTCCCTTAAATAAATAATTCAGATTTATTGCAAAAAGGTAGTAGGTTACATTCAAACTCATTCTACAAAAAACCAAGTGAAATACAACTTTCCTTTCAATGTGTTTCTGAATTCATCTATTTGCTCAGTCAGTATTTACTGAGAATCTTCTCTGTCAGAGCGCAGTGACACAAGCTATGTGGGATACAAAATCAACATCTGTGCCCTAGGAACTTGTAAGGAGAATGAGATGTGCACACAAATAGCAACAACATGGTCTTAGTTACTCCTCTCCCAACGTGTGAATGAAGAACAGAAGTAGTATTTTTAAAAACCATGATGGCAGTAAAATGTAACTTTTAGTGCCTTAATATAAAAGAGCTACATCTTTTGCTGGAAAATCAAATCCTTGACAGAGTACACAGAAGTACTCAACAGAATATTCTGAGTCAATGCTTCATATATCTATTTAGATTAAATAGTCTAAAGGGTCAGACTGGCACAAATTGTTAAATTCCACAGGATGAAATGTACATACAAGGCTGAACTATAACATGAGACATAAAGTTTATTTCCATGTGTCTATATTCCTTTCTGTATAATTAATCATTTCACATCCCCTACAAGTCATCCAAAGTGACCTAACGTTATTTCCTTGTCTCTTGCTTTTGTTCATGCTACCTTTTTGTCATGAAAGTCTTTTCTGTGTAATTGTCTAAACTGCAAGGCCCATCTCAAACACTGTGTCCATAAAGCCATCTCTGAAATCTTTTTCCTAAACACATTATTTTGTCTCTCATAATATTTTATCAATTACTACCTTTTATCTTTATTTTTTTCTTTTAAAAGAATATGACCTCTCCTTCAGGAGACAATTTGAGGGCAAAGTACCTGCTTATTTCATCACTGAATCCACCATAACATGTAATCTTTCAGAGTAGGTTATCTAATAGATATTTGCTGAACGAATGCCTACTTCATAAAATTCACAGAAGTATTTTCTCACGCTTTCTTGGCCTGATAGTAACTCATAAGAGTAAACACAATGATAACTGCAGCTAACATTTACTGAGTACCTACTAAGTGTCAGCCACTGATTTAAGTGCTTTACATAAACATTTCATTAACTTCCCATGACAACACCATATGAAATAATTATTTTACCCACTTTTTTTTTTCAGATGAGAAAGTTAAGGCCCAGTGAAGTTATTTAATTTGTTGGATGTCACAAATTAGGAGAAACAGGATGAAAACCCATGCAGTATAGCTCCGCAGCTTTTTCTCTCAAACTTCTATCTGGTTCCCCATAACATGTACATTTTAGCACCAAGTCAAAAATTAGGTTTAGAATATACCTGTGGCTACTTGGTGGCCCAAGCCTCTGCTTCCACTGTGAATCATCACACACACCTGTCCCTTATGGTCGATGCCCATTTTCTTAGCAGCGTACTCATTGAAAATCTCATCCACAACCTGAATTTCTGCATAGTGGTTGCCTGCTCCCAGGGTTCCCAGCTGCAAATGTAAGAATGTCGGATAAAATATAGCTTCTATTCTGGTGTTTAAAAAAAATCTATTTAAAAAGCAAATAGGTAAAAACAAGCCAACAACAACAAAATAACCATAATACTGTTTTATGTAACAAAAAAATTTCTAAGCCTTAGAGATGCTTCATTCATTTAAAACAATATTCTACACAACAAAAATAATGTAGACTAGCTCCTGAATGTTATTGTATCATTATATGCTTGAGGTACACACATGTTAAAAGCTTCACAACCCAAAAAAACCTCAGGCCATTAAATAGCTCATGAAATATTTTAAAAATCTTAAACATCATGAAGGGAAGGATCAAATTTTGGAACAAATGCTGGTAAATGCTGACTCCTAGACAAGGTCCAAGTTCAAATGAATTCTGAAACATCAGAATATATCCCATACATGGAGCTAACAGATGATTCAGAGAACAAAAGAATGGCAGTGCTAGGAGAGTCTTTTGAGGTTGTCAAGTTTTAACTATTCCAATTTTCAACAAGAAAATCAGACCCAGAGAGGCCCAAGAGTCTTGGCCAAGGTCACAGTGAACAAGTGGCAAAGCAATCATAATTAACTGTAAATTTCAAACATTCAGTATATTCTTATCTCATGGATACCATAAATTGACAAGGTATCTCTTTTCATCTTAAGAGGCCAGAAAACTTTTGGTCAAATCTGTAGATTGTCCAAGTACATACATATGTAATTTTGACATATATTGTAGCTTTATACTCATATTCCATTTTTCTCCCATCCACTTCTAATTCATGATATCTTATTTTATGAACATTTGCAAGCCCCTGGTAGCTTTTTAGAATAAGAATGAAGCACAAACAAATTTGTGTTCTTTTTGATATACCATGAATAAACCTGAGGAAGGTATAAATAATAAACGGAAGGTATAAATTCCCCCCCCAACAAAAACAAAATATGCAAAAAAAAAAACCCCAAAACATGTTGCCCGTCTAAAGTGAGAGTACCTGAGGAAGACCTCTTTTTTTGGCCCTTGCAGAAACCTTATTGGGGTCAGCTTGCAGCATCCTTCCATATTCCTCACAGTGCTCTTTGTCTTCAGCCCAGGCATAGCCTTCTCTTAGGGACCAGTCCACACCCATCTCTAACGCCTCCTCCAAGTCTCTGGATGAGTAATAAAAAGTGCTAGTCATTTCACAGCAAAGGCAGATCAAAACCTAAGGACGATATATAAAAAGGGCAGAAGAAAACTACACTATCTCTTGTAGACCAGGCCTTGTGCTAGATACAATATTTATGCTCTCAGCAACCCTAGTTTTTTGAGGAAAGCAGTCACATAAATAATTGTAATATAAAGTGGTAAATTCCTTATTAGACATGATTATAGTTCTACTTGACATTTAAATGGCCACTCATACTCTTCAACTCTTTTTTACATTAGATTTGCCTCTCTAATCCTGAATTCTATGAGGTGATTAAGCAGCCAAAGAAACTTTATAACTTTAATCTACCACTAATTTTACCACTACCTGCTTTCATTAATAATTTATAAAAAATTATGGACAAATAATAAATGAAGGTATCCAATTTTCCTCAGGTGACACAGGTTAAATTTTAAGGTCTATTCCCACCTTCACAAAAGTACTGTGTGGCTTTACTGCACCTGCATCTTGAAGCTGAGATACATATACGTTAAAATAAAGCTTTAATCTTTATCCAAGGTCCAGCTGTCTCCAAAATACTACCAGGAAAGATTAGTTTTCTTTTTCTTTTTCTTTGGGCAGTTGGATCTGAACTCATGAGTTAACTGGCCAGTCCAAGACTAGGTTTCAATATTCCCTCCCCACTAACCCAAATAACAGTCCATTTCAAACAGTTATTTATTAGGAAGAAACTCCTATCTAAAATATTTGGAAAGATGTTTGGAATTTATTTTTATGTTCCACATATGCTTTTCAAAGTAGGGCTGCATGTCAGGGATCATGTGAAATCACAGAATAAGCATCTCCTAAGTATATGAATTTTACTTCAAGGTTTTTTTTTTTTTGGTGGGGGGAGTTACATAACAGGTAATAGCTAAAAACATTTTTACATTAACATACATACATATATTTGACTGGAATGCAAAATTCACATGAATTTTAAAGATAAAGCATAAGATGTCAAAGAAACATACTTAAGTACATTATTCTGCAATTGAAGTTCTCTGGAAAATTTAAAGTGCACTGCTTTACATGACTATGACATAGTAGTCAGTGGCTATCTGAGAGGGAGTAACAATGTAGCCTTATATTTAATTCTCTACTTAAGAGAAGAACACACTTAGTGCTATCATTCAAAAGGTGGCCATGGATAAATAGGTTCACTGACAGAAGCCAGTGGGATACAGAATATAGCTTGAGAAGTCAAAGGATCTTTTGTTTGAATCCTGATATCACTTATTAAGCTTATTTACTATTAACTCTCTAAGCCTCAGTTTCCTTTCTTGTAAATTAGGGATAATAGTAGGGTTATTATCTAGATAAAATGAAGATACACAGTGCCTTACATATAGGAAGTGCTCAGTAAACATCAGTGGATATTATTCTATTACAAATACTACTCTCTGTCAAAAGTTGTTAAAATGAACATCAGTTGACTAATGTCTCTAATAAATGGGCTGGGCCTCATGCTTAAAAAAATAACTCATTACCCTTTCCTGAAAGGGGACTGAACAATCTCTGTCTCTCATGTGTCCTACATTGGAAATGAAGCTGAGAGTCATGTGGTTTTTATCTCTCCCATTCCATTAATTGCGAACTTGTGCTCTTACTTGGCATTCATCGGGATGACACCTTTTGATCCCACCCCAACAGGAATGTGGTCAAACATAGCTTGGGCAAGTTGCTCCTTCACAGGCTGAACATCACTTTCATCTAAATTGGTTCTCAGCAAGCGGACACCACAGTTGATGTCAAATCCAACACCACCTATAAAATACAGAAAAGTTAGTCAAATATTAGAACCAGGTGGTTGAGCACTGTCACCTGTAGTTTCTTACCATTAAGATAGGGCTAAAAAGGATACCCATTCTTTTAAAGATAACTATATTTTAAAGTAGCCAACAAAGTGATTCTCTGCTGAGTAAAGTCTGATGACAGTAAAATAATCTGAAGTATCTAAAGTACTTGTAGTACTTTATGGGCCAGGGAGGCAGTCATGAAAATGAGTAACATCTAAAATAGAGATCAAAATGTGAATAATGTGCCTCTTTTTTCCCCTTGATTACTCTTGCCAGGGGTTGATGAATTCTGTTTGTCTTTTCAAATAACCAACTTTTGGTTTTCTTGGTCCTTTCTCTTGAATACTTTTTCATTTCATTAGTTTTGCTCCTTACTTCCATCTTTCTACTTGTATTTCAGCATTTTTTCTTTCCTAATTTGAGCATTTAAGGCTATTTGTTTCCAGCCAAAGATGGCATTAACAATAACCCCAAATTTTTAGACATAAGTATTAATTTTAACCATCCCCCAGTTTTATTAATATTGACAAATAAAAATTATATATATTGGTGTACCATGTGATGATTTGACGTACATATAAACTGTGAAATGATTACCACAACCAAGCTAACAAACATATCTATAACTTCACAGTTACCCTTCTTTTTCTGGTGAGCACACTTAAGATGTACTTTCTTAGCAAATTTCAAGTATACAACACATTATTATTAACTACAGTCACCATGCTGTACATTACATTCCAGAATTTATTCATCTCATGACTGAAATTTTCTATCCTTTGACCAACATCTCTGCAATTAATCCCCTCCCCAACCACCATTTTACTCTTTGTTTCTGAGTCCAACTTTTTTAGATTCCACAATATATAAGTGAGATCATGATGTATTTTTCTTTCTATGTCTGGCTTATTTCACTCAGCACAATGTATTCCAGGTTTATCCATGTAGTAGCAAATGGCAGGATTTCCTTTTTTCCCCTTCAATATTTAAAAACTGATTTCCTTCTTTTTTAGGGCTATATAAATTCCACTGTATATATACACCACATTTTCTTTACCATTCACCTGTTGATGGGCACTTAGGTTGTTTCCATACCTTGGCTACTGTGAATAATGCTGCAAGGAACATGAAGGCATCTCTCTGAGATAATCATTTCAGTTCCTTTGGATATATACCCAGAAGTGGGACTGCTGGATCATATGGCAGTTCTATTTTTAATTTTATGAAGAATCTCCATATTGTTTTTCATAGTGGTTATACCAATATACATTCCCACTAGGAGTGTACAAGTGCTGTGGTTTGAATGTCCCTCCAAGCTCATGTTGGAACTTAACTCCCAATATAGTGGTGGAATGTGGGGACTTTAAGAGGTGACTGGATTGTGAGAACTGTGCCCTCATGAACGGATTGATCCATTCATGGAGTAATGGGTTGACAGTTTAATGGGCTGTCATGGTCATGGACTAGTGGCCTTATAAGGAGAGCACATGAAAGCGCTCCTGCCATCTTTCCCATGTGATTGGCTGCATCACCATGGGACCCACCCAAAAGAAGGCCCTCACCAAGTGTGCCCTCTGGACTGTGGACTTCCCAGACTGCGAAACTGTAAAAAATAAATTTCATTTCTTTATAAATTATCCAGTTTCAAGTATTCTGTTATAACTGACAGAAAATGAACGAATAAGAGTTCTCTTTTCTCAACTTTTTCAATTTTTAGATATATGTATTTTTAATTAACATTAGTTAAAATTTTCTAATTTCTATTATGTTTTGTTTTGGATCCATGGGTTTTTTAAAAATCATGTTGCTTAATTTCCACATATGTGAGTTTTTTTCTAGTTTGTTTAAAAAAAAATTTCTAACTTAATTCTACTGTGGTCAGGTAATATCCTTTAACCAGTGGTTCTTAAGTACAGTCCTGGGGTGACTCATTTTATATTAATGCTAACATATTATTTGTTTGTTTTTACTCTTATTCTCTCATGAATGTACAGTGAGATTTTCCAAAGGCTACATGACATGTGACAACATCTTTGCTCTGATAGATAATGAAACATGTACTTGTGTATCCTCGTGCTTGAAAAATTTTTTAGTTTTAATCTGTAATAAGGTAAACATTGATAAAAGCCTTTGAGATCAATGCTCAATAATTAAGAGTATAAGGGGATCCTGAGACCCAAAAGTTTGAAAACTATGGGTCTAAATGGTTTCAATGTTTTGAAATTTGAAAGCATATGGTCAATTTTGATAAAAACTGGGTGCACTTGAAAAAATGTATATTCTGTACTTCTTTGGTACATCATAATGCATGTGCACACACAACCACACACATATCAGAGGTCAAGGTTATTAACTGGATCATTTAAATCATTTATATTCTTACTGATTGAAATTTGCCATTTCCTTAAGAGAAAAACAATGCTAAATGTTGGGCTCACATATTTGGACCTTTTTCCTCTTCATCTGTATCTTTACCTCACAAATTCATACTGCTTTAGTAGCTTTCCTGTGGCTTCAAACTTTTTATTTATTTATTTTTTGTCCTTTATGTGACCGGTAAGGGGATCGCAACCTTTGGCTTGGTGTCGACCGCACCACACTCAGCCAGTGAACGCACCGGCCATCCCTATATAGGATCCGAACCCGCGGCGGGAGCACCACTGCGATCCCAGCGCCGCACTCTCCCGAGTGCACCATGGGGTCAGCCCTTTTAAAAAAAAATTTATCCAGCCTTTCTCATTATTTTCAGCAGGAGATTGGTCTGAAATAACTTGGTCCACCACTGCCAGAGGCAGAACTCTCACGATATCATTTAAACTTTCATTTTTTATGTAGACTTTCTGAAAGCAAAGATATTACTTCTGGAATGGAATGTGTTCAGTGAAAGCTCTTCATAACCACAGCAAAAGAGATGCACACAACTAGAGGGGAAGAACAATGATGATGATGGGAGCAAACACTTATTAAGTACTTCTGTGTGCTTAGCACTGTTCAGTGCTACTGAACAGCTGAACTCATTGAATCCTCATAATAATGCAATATCGTAAGTAACATTATTAGATCCAAATTGCCTATGAGATAATGGAGTCACAAAGATATAAAATCTGCCAGAGAAAATTTTCAGTATGTTTTTGTAGCCAGTGTCTGAATAGTGTCTGGATTTGGTAGGAGCCTTCAAAATTTTTCAAGAAATAATATGCCTTGATATTTTTCCCTTGCCCCCTCTGCTTGATATTTTAATGATCTCTGAGTATCCACAATCAATTCTCTTAGTAAATGTGATGGAAAAAAAAAACCTCAGTAGAATTAGATGAGACTGAGTTATGCACACAAAGAGAAGCAGTGCTCTGTTTCAGAAAGGCTATGATTCACAGGTAGAAACTACACACCTAACAGCAGACATGCACAGTGACCTTACCTGGGGATACCACTGCTTCGGGGTCATTCATGTCAAAGGCCGCCATATTCCCAATAGCAAACCCATAGCCTGAATGGACATCAGGAAGGCCAATAGATCTCTGAAAGAGAATTAGAAAATGAATATAGCTGTCTCAACCTGGCACTTGGGTTACCTGATGGACCTGATACTGATTCTCAAATAGGCTGCAGGTGAAGCCTTCCCAAAATAAAGATTCTATCTCTACAAATCTTCTGTATTGGTGCAAAATAGGTGTAAGAATGCCTAATCACAAAGCTAAGTACAGTGAGAAAAAAACTTTTTATAAACTTTTACTGTTAGCTAAGGAAACCCAAAACAGAAAAGCTTCAGTATAACATGATATAAAAGGATCACATACTAACTTTAATGTGTTATTACATTTTAAAGATGATCAGCAGACATTGACAACTTGTGGTTGTATCAGGTTAAGAAGAGGGAAATATTCAATTTATATAGGTCATTAGAATTTAGGTAATTACAGACAAATGCAATCCATTTGATGGTATAAATACTGTGTACTTTCTACATCTGGGGCGTAGGAAAAGACCCTGACCCAGGAATAATGCAGGTCAAACATGGTAAGAATATATGAAGACACCTAGACACATGAATTCTTTAAATGCACAAGCCACACCATTTCATCCCACTCACCTCCTGTGTACCCAGCACTGTAAAAGACCTCAAAAAATGTCTGTTGAATGGATCCATTTTCAACATCTACCTCTCATGGTGGAATGTGAATGTCAGACTGTGGTGGGGCCCCACACAGTTCTATCATTTTCAGTTTCACCCATTATTGCCACCACCCTTCTTTTCCAATCATGTCCAGAATAGCTATGCTGTCCTCTCTCTGTCCCCTCAGTCCTAACCCCACACTTCTTTCCATTCCTTCTCCAACCATCCTCTTGATAGGGCCACAGTGAAACCTACGATGGCGGTGCACTGATCCAGCAATAATGATGTTACTATGACAAAGACACAAGAAAACATAAAAACTACTTCAAAGATTCTCGGACACTTAAAGATTCTAGCCAAAGGCAACCAGAAACTGAGATGCTATCAAGACTCAATTATTTCTTTAGGTCCATGGTTATTTGTAGATGTTCAAAGGTCATTGTCTAAGTGACACCACTATCATGCATGGCCATTCATCCATTCAACAAACAAATGTAAATGATTAAAGCTCTGAACTCTGACTCACGTGAACAATCCCAGGCAGGGCTGCCACATTGCCAATCTGTTTCATGGCTGGCAGGAAGCCACCAACACCTGAAGACAAAAATTCAGTATTAGAAAAAAGGACACATTTGATTTTTAGAATTATATTCATGTTTCTAGATTGCATTACACGAAGGGGTAGTGGTTATGGCTACTAAAACAACAAAGCATAGAAGAATGTTTGAGATGCGAGTGAGAAGGGAGCTACTTTAAGAAGGAACAACACACACAAGAAAGATAGTATGGGCAACTAGACTAGTTACAAACACTCTGTCAGTGTTCTGTGTATACCACGAGAAGGTTGCTTGCAAAGGTACTGGGAGACGTAAGATATAACTATCAAACTTTATACTGTCAATATAAAAATAGTATTCTTTCAAGAGTCCACATTATTTATGAGAAAAAATCAACACTGGTTTTATTCTAAGTGACAAAGAAGGGCAACATGGAAGAAGTAGGAAAACACTGGATTGAGAGTCAGGGGATATGGGGTTCTAGTCCAGCTCTTTCACTTGGTAGCTGTGTCATTTTAGACAAGCAAGCATATCCTGGTGGGAGAGGAAGGACGTTAGTTTGCTGATCTAAAAAATAAAAGGACAACCAGGCACACTGAGCCAGCACTTCAGGGCCCACCCGCGGACCTGAGGCATGGAGAAGGGGACTGGACCTCTCTCCCACAACCAGGCACACTGAGCCAGCACTTCAGGGCCCACCCGCGGACCTGAGGCATGGAGAAGGGGACTGGACCTCTCTCCCACAACCAGGCACACCACGCCAGCACCTTGGGCCATGCCCAGGGACCCAGGGCATGGAGAAGGGGACCAGACCACCCTCCCACAACCAGGCATACTGAGCCGGCACCTTGGGGCCCACCCAGGGACCCGGGGTATGGAGCCGGGGACCAGACCATCCTCCCACGAGGCACAACATGCCAGCACCTTGGAGCCCACCCGGGGACCAGGGGTATGGAGAAGGGGACTGGACCTTTTTCCCACAACCAGGCACACTGCACTAGTGCCTCAGGGCCTGCCCAGGGACCTGAGGCATGGAGAAGGGGACTGGACCTCTCTCCCACAACCAGGCACACCAAGCCAGCACCTTGGGGCCTGCCCATGGTTCCGCGGCATGGAGAAGGGGATCAGACCACCCTCCCACAACCAGGCACACCATGCCAGCCCCTCGGAGCCCACCCAGAAACCCAGGGCACGGAGAAAGGGACTGGACCCCTCTCCCACAACCAGGCACACCAAGCCAGCACCTTGGGTCCCTCCCAGTGTCCCGAGGCACAGAGTCAGAAACCAGACTCTCCTCCCACAAGAAACACCACGCCAGTACCTCGGGGCTCACCCAGGGACCCGAGGCAAGGATAAGGGGACTGGACCTCTCTCCCACAACCAGGGACACCGTGCCAGCACCTTGGGCCTCGCCTGGCCCAGAGGCATGCAGAAGGGGACTGGTCCCCTCTCCCACAACCAGGCACATGGCGCCAGCGCCTTGGGGCCTGTCCACGGACGAGAGGCATGGAGAAGGGGACCAAACACACCCCACAACCAGGCATACTGCCAGTGCCAAGGAGCATGCCAAAAACAGCCCCTCCACGTGGGTGGCCCACCACAGCCACCACAATAACCATGGCTGCTGCAAAAGCGGCTAGATGGCACAGCCACCACGCAGATGGTCTGCCAACCACTGGAGTGCATTCACACAAGAAGAGTCACCAGCAGAGACAAAGAAAAGAAGAGGATGTCTCTTTCCACAAAACCCATTTCAGAGTGATAGAAGACGCATCTGCTCTATGATAATATTGGGGGACCTGATCACATCTCTCAGCATTGGACAGATCATCTAGGCAACAAGTTAACAAAGTAACCATTATTCTGTCAGAAGGAGAGAAGAAATCTAGGGCAATTAGAGGAGGGTGGGGGAAGGAATGGGGGAAGGGGAGAGGTTGGACAAGGGGCATAAAGAATAATTACCATTTGGAACAATATTTATGCTAGTAATATTGATTTAATCAACATATCTCAATGTTCAACCCCCAAAATATGTATAATCGATTCAATAAATAAAATAAATTTAAAAGCAAAAAAAAAAAAAAGTTAACTCTATATAAAAGTATGTATATAATTAATTCTATGAACATGGTGGCCTAACTGCCATGGTTTTCTTACAATGAGAACTAGCAGAATGAATAATCTTATCTTTAGGAATTCTAAATTGTGGGTATATTCATATTGTGACATTAAAATGGCGTTAAAAAATAAAAAAAATAAAAGGACTAAAACTAGGTAATTTCTTTTCTACCATCACCATTAGAGTATTATCTTAGAGCTTTATACATTCATCTCTAAACCTCATTGCAGGTCTGCAAAATAGGTATAATACGTCCTGTTTTATACATGAGATAATGAAGCTCAGGAAGGCTAATTAGTGAACTAGTTAAGAACTGGCTTTGGAATCAGACACTCTTGGATACAAATTCTGGCTCTGTCACCAAGAAGTTGTGTGGCCCCGGGCAAATTAAAATTATTTAACTTCACTGAGCTTTAACTTACACATCTGTAAAATTGAGATGATAATATCTTCCTTTTAGAGTTACTTTATTACATGAGATAATCTATGTAAAACACCAAGTAAAATGCCTGGCACATAGTAAGTGGATGATAAATGGTAGCTGTTGCTTTTATTGTTCAAGATTAGCTGAGAAACAAACCAGGTCCATTCAGCTACAAATCCTTTCTACGTGGCCAAGTGACTAACAGTGTGATCACAAGCAAGTAAGTTTTTTGGTCCCACATCACATCATGATCATTCCTTGACAGTATTTTAAAATTATAGTTATTTGAATTATTTTTTACAGGCCACAGGGAAGGAACCACTTGTACTACCACAAGTGAAACTGTAATGTACTTACCACCACCTCGACAAGCATTCCTTAATTCCTCAAACATTAATTTCTCCAGAGCATCATTCACATAGAAAACTCCTTCAACCTGGTACCAAAGAAAAGGAAAAACGATGACTGAGTGTGGAATATACTAAAAAGCATATGTACTTCACAGAGCCTGGTTTTCCAAAGTCTTGCAGTTTCAAATACTGACCTTGTGGAGGACTGGAAATTTTCCTCAGGCTATAAGTCTCTGGTGTAAGATAAAGATTTGTGGCACAGCAAGGTTGCTGGCTCAAAGACAGATGAGTTACTGATTGATATCTAAGTTGCTGGAAAACTGCTAGAGGGAGAAGGAATGTTTGCTAAGATAAGCTTGTGTTGATAGGACCACTTAATTGCCTTACTGGAATGCCATCTGGCTTGTTTCACTGAAAGTTACCAGCCTATATTGTTAAACTATAACCCCACCTATGTTCTCTTCCTGTAACTTCCTGGTCTGGAAAATAAATGCCGGAAGAGAACCCCAATTCATGGTTAATTTCCCAAGGACGGGTTGCCTCTCACTGGAGGGTCCAAGGGAAGTTAACCACTTTGGGGCTTCTCACTGCTCAGAAGAGATGGGCTTTGAGAAATCCTTTGCATCTCCGTCACCCAGGGGAAGTGGGGTAACGAATCTGTCGGGGGCGAAGCAACACAAAGCAACAATTGAGCACATGTACAGGAAGTATAGATACTGGATAGAATACACTGCATTCAATATTTATTCTGCTTTACTCTTTATAAAAAAGACTTTCACATTACCTTAAGCAGCAGAAAACTTACTATCAAAGACTATGAGACGGTCCCATCTTTAAATATAACTTAAAAATGTATTTTCAATGTTCGCAAATTGCTTTGTTTATTCTCCTACTCTCAAAGCCACAGTTAAGAAATTCAACGACCATTTTTTTTTGTGATAAAAAGTCTTCCAATTATACTCTCACAAAGGCCAAAGGTCTCAGTACTCTCATGCTTCTAACACATAATGAATTTTTTTAAAAAAAACAGATCAATCGATGGCGACGGGTCTGAGCGGCCTGCCAGGAGACAGCGCGATCCTGTGAGCCATGCCCTGT